CAATGATATGGAGGATCCCCAGCCCACTTCAGTCCCAGTTAACACTCCAGACAGTACTGGCCATGTAGCAGCACCACAGCAAGAACATGATCTTGTACAAACTGATGTCCAAGGTATAGATATGCTTTAGTATAAAGCTGAGATAAATTTTGAAAATGGAAAGATACCAAAATATCATTTTATCTATAAAACCAGAAACTGAACTATGCACTATACATCAAACTCATTTGGCATGTAGTCTCCATATGTATATAGTCCTAGAACACTTATGGTATTGTTGTGTACAATTTCAATTGTATTGGTTTTCATTAAATATTTAATACCAGTTTTAACTGGAATAAAATACAGTGAAGCCTGTCTCGTCCGACCCCTGATTATTCAGACACTTTACACATAATGCTGTAATCCCATGTGTTATGAAAATAATAGTATATGACCTGTGTATTTAGACTATTGACAGACTATTTTTCTGTAATCTTACCAGTATGTTATGCCCCAGTGAATGTCAGGTTAGACAGGTTTCACTGTATACATGTATAACTATTATCAATTAAAACAATTTTTAGAGACTAGGAATTGCAAACCAATATATTTTAAAGGCTTCAAGTTCTAATGTGAAATTGTGGCAATATCAAAGTATGTGTGTACATTATTATTGGGTTTGCGCATGCAGTTGGTGTGATTTAGGTAAAGCTATATATGGTATACCTTATCTTTTGAGGTAATATTTTGGTCATAAACGGAATATCAGGATAAATTCTTTCAACAAACAGTTCTTTTGTTGTGAACACAACAAGGTCATACCATGGAGCACCTGTGACTAGCAGTTAAGCAGTTGTCCTTGTATTTGAACATAGTAGTTGTGTTTTCTGTTCATTTTTACAACATTGTTTTCATAATTAGGTACAAAATTCTGGATCACATTGCAAGCTTCAGTAATACTCATCTGCCTTGCTACAAAGGGACATTTTATTTCCACAATACCAGTCTCCCCTTTGTCACATACTTTACCATCAGGTGTGGCGGCTAGATGGGAAAATTCATTGTTTATAACTAACCCACAATCATGGACATGTACGTATGTTTTAGACAGACTTTTGATTGACATATTTTTCTCTGGCAATTTTCCCCCTACTAATACCATAATCTGTTGATACAGAAGAAAATGTCTTTATTGTAAACAAATCTCTTAGCATAGCATCAGTAGGACCTTTCTTTCTGTTTACAACTTTGAACATCTGAGATGCTGTAAGACTTTTCTCTCTCCCATAGGGCGTTGGTACTTTGGGACCGTGTTGCCTTTTCCAACATTGCAACCTTTGACATTTCCACCAAATCTTGGTAACAAGGTGGCATCCTAACTTTTACTGGTTGGGTATAAATCATTTCTCAGCAAGACATGACATTGCCATTGTCAAAAGCAATGTCATTCTTCTGAGACTGAAAATAAAATCAAATCAGCTGAATTTGATTTATTTATAGAACTTTTTTTCAGGAACATCTTTGGAACTACTATCAGCAGCAGCTGAAATCAAAAGGCTACAACAACAAGTTCATCAGTCTGAAGTCTTATTCAATGAATACAGAGTGTGGTATGAACAACATGAAGCTACATTCGGAAATCCTGTAAGTGATGACAAACCCAAACCACTGACTGTTCAGGAGATTTTAAAGGAGGAATCACAGATTCAAGGATTATTTGAATATTATACAGGATTCAAATTCTCAACATTCCAGGCCCTACTTGACTTTCTCACTATTCATGCCCCACAACACCATAATAACAGGAAAGACATAGTTAACATGGAGTGCGAGGATAAACTGTTGTTAACATTGATGAGACTGCGACACAATTTTGGTCTTAAAGATCTGGCTTTTAGATTTGCTATCTCCACTCAAGCAGTGATTTGCAGAACAGGATGCGAACCTCTGGCATACCGTGAACCGTTGTAAGTTCGCAGGTCCCTGTCGCAGATGGAAAAACTTGTAAACTAGGCCTGCTGCACATCAGATCTTGTCACTCTTAGATATTGAAGAATGGAGGAAGGGTAATACTATATAATTTTGGGAATGGGGCATGGGGTAATAATGTACTGATGATTTGTTATCAACACAGAATTAATGCTTTGTCCTTAAAAAGAGGACAAAAGGGAGGGATAAATGTCTATGTTATGCCTTTATGTAAGCTGCTATTCACTTCATTTGCAGGACTTGGATGAGTGCATTAAAGGAATAATTAAATATAATTAATATGACTCATGTTTTAGACTTTTTATTTCTTCACTGTAAACAGTACATTAAGGAACAAATGTTTTGTATAGGGCCTACTCCCTTGTTTTTATTTGGATGTAATCGCACAGTACAGCAACAGATGTCGAAGACGACTGTTAACGTTATCAATGTCCACCTTTTGTTATATATAGTTTTTGCATTTTGAATGACTCATTGACTGCCATGATTGTACGTTAGGCCTGCACTACAGTCTGTAGTTTAGGGTACACACATATATATAGGGGGTTCATATATGATCATATTGCTATAGGTAAGATTACACACATAAACAGTTTAACACCAGCTTGTCATACTTGCCAACTTTTTAAAATGTCCATCAGGGAGATTAAAACAAATGTATGTATGTACTGTACACCCTAAGGAAATGGCATCTTTTGAGCTGTTCTTTCAGATGAAATTTTAGCAAATTCACTAGTTTAACTTGCTCAATTTCTTCTCTTGGCCTAGCACCCACTATCACATGCCATGATCTTCAAATAGATGAAGGTGGTCATTACTATGTAGATGTAAAACTCGTGAGTCTCCCTCCTATATAGGGAGAATTGCCAAGTATTGAGCCGCGGATACCGCTATTTAAAAAAACCCGTCTGAACAAGGAAACCAACGTACATCACTGCATGATATTGTGAATAACCGTTTAATTAAAAAAGAAAAGAAAAACGGAACTCGACAGACCTAAACTGGATAATTACCCAGCTGAACAGTATGCGTCCTTAACACACTTCTTTGGTAAGCCTACTGTACATGTAATGTTAACAAGTGTGGCTTCTCCCCCTTTCTCATGCTTCGGTAGCATCTCCCTCCGATTGCCACCTCCGCTTGGACATCATTTTTTGTTAAATTTAGGTTGTGGACATAGCCCTCTCTAAAATCAATAGTTCCCCTGGATAAACATTTTTCAGAAATGTTTGCATCTTGAATGTATCCCATACAAAAATCATCGGGAATGTCCCCGAGTCCTGCAACAGTCGCTGCCGCCATCGCCATGGGCAAAATTTTACTATGGCTTGTTTACATTTGTTGTCGGAGCATGTAGTCACATGACTTTGGTTGCTACATGGGGGCGGGGCATGGAAGGGTGAATTCTGAAGCTGACTGAAGAACACGGCGAAGATACAACAACCATAAGGTATACATACAAAGGCTGGATAAGTCTTTGTGGAAGGACTGCATAGTTTTTGATAGCCAGTGACCAGTGGTCGTGAAGCAGTAGGTTAGGATGATTAGCGGTTGTAAGGCTTGTGCACGGTGTAGCTATTACACGTGTGAACTGGTGCGCTGCGCTGGATAAGCCGGTGCGCAAGGTTGTCACTGCGCTGTACTAGTGCCGGGAGCACTCGTAATAGTCGTGTGCTAGTTGTTAGTGCCGTGCGCCGCGCTGCATAAGCCGGTGAGTTGTAGGTCTTGTCTAGCCCCCCCCCCGTTAATGTTAAATATGTATTGTAGTTGTGAGTCCCGTGGCAAGTAGCACGATCCTGTTTATTGTATGCAACTGTATCATAGGTTTGTCGTATTAAAAACCTTTGTAAATAATACTAATTATAGTCTGATTAGTTTTGCTTGGGTCCAATTCTTATAGGAAGTCTCTGCGCTACTAAGCAAGTGCGCTAAGGCGAAGCTGCCGGAACTGCACAGTATATCCCGAGACACTTGGGAGGACCAAATAGGTACTGACCACGGTGCACAGTTATTGACGTATTGGTCTGCATTATTCTGATATCTGGTTTCAAAAGTAAATATGTGTATTTAAAATAATTGTATATTAAACCTGGATTTGTAGCAGAATATTGTATATAATTCTATTCTTCTTAAAAAATCTACAGATATATTACTAGTGGAGTCTATATCATTCCAAAACAAAATTATGTTATTTTCTTCTTGTTTTCATGGAATGGAGGGAAAACAAAGATTTTGAGGTTTAGGAAAATGTTATCATATCAGTACAAAAAGTTCGGCTTACAAAGAAATGCTGTGAAAACAGAGGCAAATAAATAGCATCCGTGACGTGTATCTCGTGGCGTTTCAAACATACAGAAGTCCATAGTATATACATTCTGTGTGTAGTGAGCATGAGCATAATATCCCCAACACGTCGAGATCTTATCAGGGTCAGAAAAGATGACTGGGGTGACGTGATCAGTCGCTAAATGTATTTTGTAAATATGCGGGTTGGTGTCATGTGGATGGAACTGACCATGCCACTTTCTCAACGTGACAAATCTCTGCTTAGCGCTCGGGCCGAATGTCACATCTCTAGATCTTGTACATCTTTCTTCCACGGTCAAGGTACTGACAGTTCTAAAGATGTTTTTGTTTGAAGTATGTAACATATTTGACCCCTGTGACCTTCAAAGAAGGTCAAGGTCGTTTTAATGAGGAAACTTTATAGCACTTCATCACAGGTACCTACTGGCTAAAAAACATGACCCTGGGTCTTATGGAACTAGAGAAGAATTTTAAAATTCTTAACCCACGTTAACATGTGACCCCTGACAAGCACTTAAAGTTGACCTTTGACCTCGTTACTGTAATAAAGAAAACTATTCACACAGCTGGTCTACATAAGATACCCAAGTATTATGACTGCAGTCCAAATGGTTCTTAGGATGTTGTTGTTTTAAGTGTTTACCATATTTGACCCCCGTGACCTTTAATGTAGGTCAAGGTCATTTTAATGAGGAAAATGTATAGCACTCCATCCCAGGTACCTACTGGCCAAATATCATGACCTTTGGCTTTATGGAACTTGAGAAGAAGATTGTGAAAGCTTATAACCCATGTTGACCTTTGACCCCGACTAGCACTTTAAGTTGACCTTTGACCTCATTACTGTAATTTAGAAAATAAATTGCACTGCTGGTCTACATAACATACCCAAGTATCATGACTCTAATCCTTATGGTCCTCTATAAATATTGTTGTTTGAATAGTTTAACATATTTGACACCTGTGACCTTGAAAGTAGGTCAAATTCATTTTAATGCAGAAAGTTGATACCACTTTATCCCATCTACCTACTGGTCAAATGTCGTGACTCTAGGTCCTCCAGTTCATCAGAAGAAGTCGTTCAGAGTAAAAAGGTGGCGGACAACGGACGGGCCAGGTGAGCTTAAAATGTAATGTCTTGCCATGTTTACTTATTATTGATTTGGATTGTGATATGCTATATGATCATCAAAATTTGATGCAGTTACATGTTGATTGATGTTATATCAGTATGGTTAAGTTTTGATGTTATTATGTTGAGGGAATGCCTTAATACAACTTTCAAGTTCAATGTGCAATTCTGACATACATGCATTCACCATCATTTCATTTGGATTTAAATTTACCTAGCACAGGTATTATACTAGGCATATGTTTGACTCCTTGCCATCTAATCAAGTGTCTTCCTATCTAAGCTTTAACAGTGGCATTTTAAAGTTTGGAACAGAATTATAGCCATTGTAGTTATAATTAGCATGGATTCAGAAGTGAGAATGTTACATTCTTTCTATTTAACAGTATTTATACATAACCATGTCTTAATTGTGTACATGTCAGATTGTTTTATGGAACCGGAATTGCCATTATTAAAATTCTATGGAGATGAGGCCACTGCCAACATCAGAATGATCTTTGTAATTATCCATTGATCAGCATACTTCATACAAATATATCATATCAAAACATTAAAGTCTAAAGATATTGTGATGCTTGTATTTTGCAGGCTGATGAACTAACGACAGAGAGGAAAGTCATCAATGTTCACATGTACTGTCTGAAGTTAGAACGACGTCATTATCTGATGATTACTTTGATTACCTCAGTTGTCACTCTTTCATTGTAAATGAAGCAAACCTTTTTACCAATAGATCAGGTGAAATTTACCAGAAGTCTGTTGTTTTATTTATCGATACTCAACATGCATATGTAGTAGGACGAGGAATAGTGATAAAGATAGTGCCGTCGCTGGGGCTCGAACCCACAATCCTTGGCTCTCCAGCCCGATGCTCTACCGCTGAGCTAAAGGAAAATTCCCTACATGTACAGGTGACGCTTGTAAGGCCACCTAATCAATGCACATCTTTTACACTAAACCCTCCCTGCCTCTTCATAAACCAACCCAGGTTATTTGACCACCCACCAAAGGTTCTCCTACCTTGAACGGGGAGGGTCAACGGCACCAGTTTGTAGCAGGACGAGGAATAGTGTGCCGTCACTGGAGCTCGAACCCACGACCCTTGGCTCTCCCACTCTTTGTGGATGTCGGATGCTTAGGTGCTTTGTCTACATTGTAGATTTCAGGAAAAAATTCAAACTTGCTTTGAATACCTATGATGAGATTATATGAGGAAGTAAGATCCTGCCTTACCCCTCAGGCTGGAGGGGTAGGGTTTAAAGAGGAATAATTAGCTAACATTTCAAAACTCCTTTTCCTCATATGTACCACAATCCAAATCACTTCATGAATGAAAAAGTCCTTTGTTGCTTTATCTAAATGGTAAATATATTTACCCCTGTTCATCAGTTCTCCCATGGGGAAGGGTGCAATTTGCTATACTTGATATAGGGAAATAACATTTTGGGTATATTTTGTCCATTTTTATCAGGAAATACTTCATATAGCTGTAACAAATTCTCAGGTGCCTGTGTATATTATAACTGAGGTGACCATTAAGGTCTTTTGTTAAAATATTCAATTATATTTGCAATATATCTGACATACTCATAACTGATGAATTGCATAAACAAAACACCTGCGATCACAACAAAGTCAGAATTTCATGTGAAATATGTTGTTTATTTCAACAAAACTTAAATAATTATAAACAGTAAGGTATTTTCTTCTATATATCTGAAAATAACATGTTAATTTTCCCGAAGTCCCTAATTACCGGGGTATATGCGAAAAAACGTGATTTTCACGGTTGACTGCGTCATACAAGTTTTACCCCCTTGAAATACACATTGTCGTTTTTTTAAATTATTAGATAATAAATCAACATTTTTGTAATTGTCACATTTAGAAAATAATGTTTGAAATTATCTTATATTTTTATAACAAGAGGCCCATGGGCCTTAACGGTCACCTGATATATTTATACAGAGAGTTGATTTTGATTTTAACATGAACAGAAATATTATTCAAAGTGACAAAAAACAATAAAACCACCTTACTCAATATCTAGCATACAGATTTCAGACTAAAAAGGATTTGAAACTAGCACCTCTGATTCTTAACAAGGAAAATGAAGAAATTTTAGCACACTGACTCCTTTGAGCCCCACCCTACAGCCCTTGGGGGTAGGGCTGGCTCAAAATTTTCAAAGTATCAAACTGTCAATTCAAGGTTATAATTCCAATCAAGTTATTA